TATATATATATATATATATATATATATATCAATGTTTTATATTTCCCACTTACTTTTACTGCTTCTAGGATCTGTTGGCTGTTCTGACCTCTGCTGTTGGCCCATGCTGATGACGCTCGGCTTTGGCTTGACAGCTGAATGATAGTTAAGAAATATGAGGTAAGACATTTATATGAAATATTAAATATATTAATATTTTCAGTGGATTACTTTAGAATTATGTACATAGTTTAACATGTTTCTGAAATTGCATTATATATAAAAACCTAAAAGATCATTTCAGCTGGTACCAGACCTTCACGGCCAATGAAAAGCCTGCTTAATGGGAATCAATGAGATTTCTTGTACAATATATCTCTAGCTCACCTTGCTCACCCCATAAGCACATTTAGTTTACTTCAATTCATTATTCATTCACTATTGTGCTCAAGCTCCTGAGTGACTGTTCAGGATCCCAAAACACAACTGATTGCCCTCAAAGCTGGAACTGTGTAATGCTTTGTGAAATATGATATTAGATATGATGTGTGCTAAATTATATAGAAATGGAGCCTATTTGTTTGATGAATATCTGTACAGAATCCTAATGTTAGGAAAGTGGCTGTATATTTTCATCTATGTGAAAGTCTCAGTAGAAATCTGTTTGTTCAGTTCATTCCTCTGTGGATTCTTTGGTAAACATGCGCTTTGCAAACAGACTTTGGCGGAAACTATTGCAGCAACATGTAAGAATTAACCATGTTAATTCTAATGCCCGATCTGTGGTCAGTGATTTTTATGTGATATGTAAGGACTGATGTACAGCAAAATGCATCAGTAAATCTAATCGAGTTGCGGCCATGGAACCAATTAACCTTATGTGTTTCTGAACAATTAAGATATCACTGGTCACTGGCATTAATGCAGTCATTAAGTGGTCAATTTCATTACAAATACATTTTTGGATGAACAAAAAAAATCTAATATCACTGAAATTTGAGTTTAAATTACAAACAAATTTAAGTTAATGTTTAAAAAAAATGTAAAAATTCAGTCAAAAGTGAGCAAAGAGCACCAGAGGGTTCAATTGTGATCAAATTATATACAGAATGCAATCTGAGAACGCTCCCTTTATAATCACTTGAGCTGTCAATCATTCTCAAGTTCAGTGTGAGTGAGTTTCCCAGTGATTTGAGTTCTGCACATTCACCAAAACTCCCGTTATAAGCAGTGATGCTGTTTACGCTGCTCAATGAATGCAAGCTTTTATGCAGTGGGAGTAGATCTAAATATAATGCTTATCTAATGTCTGCAGCTCTGCTGTAATAGTAATAACATCAAAAGTGTTTCACTGTAAAACCTATTTTATATGCAAAGATGTAATCCAATCATTGCAGTGAGTGTTTGCATTTAAGTCTAAGCATTTAAAGGGTACATCGGATGCAAAATTCACTTTTACATGGTGTTTGAACTTAAATGTGTCTTGGCAGTGTGTGTACACAACCACCATATAATGATAAAAATCCACCCAGTGCTTTTTTTTTTTTAATCCCCACAAATCATAAGCACAGTGGCGTAGGAAGTCAGCCCCGGGCCCATATGCAAAAAATTTGTATGGGCAAATACAAACAATAAATGTGTTTTTACGCTCTTTAAAGGGGGGGTACAATGCTGTTTCATGCATTCGCCCGCGCACGCATCGACCAGAGCAAGAGCGAGATCACACCCATCAATGCGCTTCATCCACGGGACTTGCTCGGGAAGAATGTGTCCAAAGAAGTGTGTTTTTGGTTGTAAGGGAAAGATATCTTTGTTCAGCTTCCTAAAGAACCCAGCGTTATGTAAACAGTGGATACAGTTTGTTTTTCTGGAGCAGCAACGGAGTTTCACAAGTGTGTTTGTTGACAAAAGTTTTAAAAACAAGGCCCAGTTCGACGCTGGATTTGCACATCGTTTGATACTGAAAGATGGAGCGGTCCCAGCTATAAAAGATCCCGGTCATGATTCAGAACTGCAGACGGTAAGTGAAACGGCATCTAATGTCTGTTTTGTTGGCATTCGGTGGATATGAAGGATGCAGTACTACTCTATAGGTACTCAAGATTAACATGAAATTGGGTGAAACTGTGCGTGTTATGTCCCCTTTACGCTCTTTAATTTGTAGTGAGATAACTATATTCGCCTCTGTTCAAGCAGCATGTGAATCAATGATATTTTCCTCTTTAATATTTGCAGCATGAAATCGAGTTTCAAAAAACGTCAATAAGCCTATGTTTTATTGCTGTTTTACATGTTAAATGTGAAGAATGACAGGTTGGATGCAACACACTTTTTTTGGCAGAGTATAGTCGTAATTTTCACATTAACTTCACGCAATATAACATGATTTTATTATCGTAATTTTGAGTTTATTCTTAAAATATTATGATGTTAATCATTTATTTTAGTTATTTGTTTTTCAAAGTGGCACTTTGAAATGTGACTATTTGAGACTATTTGTACAGCATGCAAACACAATCTCGGCACAGCGGCCAAACAAAAAACAATTTTAAATAGTAAGGAGATATTTGAATTATTTATTAATAAACTAGTGTTTTCTGAGTCAATGTCCCAAAGATGAAGTTGATGATCCTGACTCGCCATCTCATCATTGGACGCACCTTTAGAGAGAAATGCATCATTACGGATTACATAATGAAAGAGTTTTTGTCTTCGATTTGAATTATTTCGGTCTAAAGTAGTCATTTAAAGCTTTCTATAGATATATTTATCATGTCTGGCAAGTATTCGCTGAGTTTCGGTTAATTTTTGTGAAGTGCTCCTGCTCGAGACCGAGACGGCAGAAAGCGCATCCTGTTTGTTTTCCTTATTTTACAAAAGCACAACGTTTTGTTGATATTGTGAGTACGCACAAATAAAAGTAGACCCTTTGCAGTTCCGAATGATGTATTAGTCTTATCTATATGAGCAAAAATGGTGGCATATTTTAAGTTTCCACTCTTATAAAAAAAAAAAAAAGTGAAGCACAAGTGATCGCGCTGGCGCCTCCCTGTCCAGAGCGCGCTTCAGCTTCCACTCTCCACACAAACGATTGGATATCGTATTATGTTAAAAACAAAACATTATTTATCCATCTGTAACTGCAGGTGAAATGCATCCATGTCCCCTCTGAGATACATTAAACTGTGTAAATACATCTAAATGCTATTTCAGATGCAGATTCCAGAAATGATTTCTTATGTTGGAATGAAAGACACACTAAAAAATTGCTGTAGTTTCTACAGTAAAATTTTACAGAATATTACTGTTTAAACATTCTACAAGATGTAGCTGTAATTCGCAATGCATTATGGGTCAAATAAGGTTTTACAGTTGTTAACAGTATATTTCCATGTCAACTGTAATTCTTTTACAAGAAGCAGGTGTTGTCACTGTAGCTCCTGGTTTTTACACTAACTTACTGTAGTGTGGCATTATGGGATGTGGTGCTTCAGTCAAATCTGAAATCCAGCCGACTGGAGCAGCTCGAGAACGATTGAAGATTAGAGGCTTTATTCATCATTCCTGGTAAGTTCACTTAATTTCACTTAAGAAATATATCCTTTTATATTTATTTAAGTTAATGTATAAGACATATCATGTTACAATAGCCTGCTATCATGACATTTAGACAAGCGGCCTGAATGATTCAGCATTTTGAATGGATCAGTACAATGAATGACTCAATTGACTCACTCGTTAAGTTATTTGCTGCCACCTAATGGCGGTTTAGTTTCACGTTTAAAAAGTATCATAGAATTTTTCCAACATTTCTTATTTGTAATTTCAAAAATGTATGTAAAACATTAATGTCATAACACAGTTGTAATTTTGCATTATAAATGATTTAATTTGATTGGTGGTACAGTTCTACAATGTATTATAATAATTGAATTTATTAATCAAATGTAAGAGTTTGCTTATTTTAAAATATATGCCTTTTGGGTGTTCATTTTGGTCTCATTTATGTAATGCATTTTAAAAAATTACTTGGTAATTTTCATTATTTCTTGTAGGTGCAAAGAATAGCAGCTGATGTGGAGAAATGTTTGATGCGACTGGAGCAGCTCGAGAACGATTGAAGATTAATTTAGAGGCTTTATTCATAATTCCTGGTAAGTTCACTTAATTTTACTTAAGAAATATATCCTTTTATATTTATTTAAGTTAACGTATAAGCGATATTATGTCACAATAGCCTGCTATCACGACATTTAGACAAGCGGCCTTGGTATGTGCAGTAAGCTGGAAATTGCTATCATAGCAAAGTTAGGCTAAATGCTGCATTTTTCTCATTTTGGCAGTTTAATTTTCTTATTGAGAGCATTTAAAGTAGTGTTTACCCAACTTTTAACATAATGACCAGTGCGAACGATTGTCATAGTAACTACTATCTGTCTAAATAACTGACGAACAGCAAAATATGTGAAATTTAATTTGTTCATATGTGTTCAACTGTCCCATATTGACGTGACAACTTAAGGCTGATTTATACTTCTGCGTCGGATTCATTTCAGGTGCACCCAGTGGCTTTTCGAGGGTCAGATGGTTGTGAATTCATACCTCAACTTTGTGGCTGGATTTGCAGTCTTATTACAACTTCAGTCTGGCAACCCGGGAGCAGGCATCTTTTGCACACTTGAATTTTTTCCAAAGGTAACATGTTTTACTTGAGTAATTTCATTTGTGAAAAAGGTTACTTATTTAGTTTAAGTACTGGCATAAGCTGACTGTATTGTATAAGTGGCATTTTTACATTCATTTTATTGAGCTAGTTTAATTCAATACTGAACTTTATTCTAAAGCTTCTGCTTGTTTTTATGTGCAGATGTTTTGTTGGAACCACAGCACTCACCGTATACAAGACGGACACATAGAAGCAAAACAAGTGGAAAAGTCTCAGAGAAGAGGGACAACCCTCATGTGTGTGCTTACTTACTTTTTAGACACAGTATCGACTGTTGTTCTATTTCACCAACGAAAATCGTTCCAAACAAAGATCAAAGCAAAACCATTTTGCGCATCCTCAAAGCAAAACCCAGCTGTGTTTTGTTACTGAATGATTCAGCATTTTGAACGAATCGGTACAATGAATGACTCAATTGACTCACTCATT